CCCCAAAACCCCAAAACCCCAAACCCCAAAACCCCAAAACCCCATGAGAATGAAGATGAGTATAAATAAGAAATGGAATTCTCCTAAATTTACTATTTTAAGATTATATTAATTTTATGAAAAATAATATTAATTAAATAAATGGAATGCATTTAAGTAATCTCACAACATGATTGTTGGAACATTTTACTAAAATAGCGCTTTAATGTTTAATTTGATCGATCATTTGTGGATCATTGTTGGCTTATGACTGATGTACTTTTATATCTTGAGAGTAATGCGTCACCTAGTCTCTGTTTTAGATTAATGTGATTCTTTTTCATTTTTTTTACAATCTCATCTTCGAATTTGACTTTTAGATTTTGCCTCTCTATTCTTTATTTGATTGATTTTTAGATAACTAGTGGGACAGAAGGAGCTAAAATTTCTTTCTCTTAATTGTAAACAAATTTTTCTAGCTAATTGATGCCCATAGTTTTCGATTTATTATGCTTTACACTATTATGCTGAGGCAATGCTTATCTTGATCCTAAATCTTGATTATCATCTATAAAACTGATTCTTCTATGATGATGACTGATCATTGGGAGTTTGATTTATTTTACTGGAGTCTATGATTTTTTAAGAGTACTAATGAAATTTATTGGGGATTCCTGAGTGCTCTTATTGCTTATTCCAGATATCTACAATGCTTATTATTGTCTGAATTTTTCCAGCAATTACTTCATTGAGTTATTCACAGCTAACTAATTCTAGCTTGATTAGATCTATGTTTACAAATTATTTCTTGTAAGATTGTTATATAAATTATTTTCGTTTTAGGAGTGTTTTAATTCCTTTCTAGTTACATACTTATGCAGTGCAAAGTTCTTATTCTCTTATTTCAAATCAGGAGTATTATTACTCCTAGACAACAAATGCATCATAGTTTGTTGATTTTAAGGTTTATCAGGTTTTGATGCTCTGGGAGGCAGATTAAGATTCATTGCTTTATTGGAGTTCTCATATTCATCGAAAGTGGGGATAACCTTCAGTTTGAGCATTGATTTTGGTTAAGATTTTTTTTCTTCGACTTGATTTTCATCCGAGATTATTGAGTTGTCTAAAACATTTTTTAATGGACTTTCGTAATATTAGGATTGCATTTCTCTCTCTGAATTAAGATTGTAAGATTAGTCAGTATCATCCACTTATTATAAATCTTAGTTTACTCTCTTGTCCTTTGTATATCTAAGATTAGGTCCCTTGGTGCTCATTGATTAATTAATGCTTGCTTCTTTTTATTCTTGAAGTTTAATAATTTTAAGCTTCAATCTTTGCTAAAATTAATCTTTTAGTGAATTCTTACTTTCTCCCAGGTTATTACTTAATTTACCTGCATTATTTGATTAATCAAGAAAAGATTAGGTTAATGCTCCATCATTTCTAGAACCAAGATTGCTGAAGTTTTTGTACTTTAGGTTGATCTATTAATTTTTAATACTTGGTGTGGCATTGCCAATACTCTAATTAAACTTGAAACTAACATTTTCTTGAGATTGATTTTTTTCTTAAGAACTCGAATCGCCTCGCTACTTAATATATGGCTATGATCTGATATACTCACTATTATGAAGAGTGGATTATGCCTATGCAACTTTTTTGTTCATCAAAAATTTAAGTACTTACTGAGTCTAATTGCTCTTTTATTACTATTATGGTGATTAACTTATCCTTTACCAATTTATATTTCTTGTCGGGAGATTCATTTTAATATCCTAAGATGGTTTTTAAAACTGATTGCTTGAACTATGTTAATCCATGTTTTACTTCAAAGTGAACTTTAATTTCTTAGCCATTGATTTGAGATAGCATAAATCTTCAATAATTTTCTTATTTTGTAAATTAGTCATCTCTTGAGAATATTACTTTGTTTATTAATACTCAGAGTCTTAGTTTGGCTTGTTTAGAGAATTATATAGCTTTTGAGACAATAGATCCATAAAAAAATTAATAATTTCGAAAAAATAATTTAAAAAATTTAATTATAAATGTTTATTTTCTGAATTCACATAAAAGTAATGCATTAGGGGTTTTGGGGTTTTGGGGTTTTGGGG